ACAAAATATATTTATCATAACTATTATTGTTTTTCAATGATGTTACCCGTACCAGGATTACTGGTGCTCGAATTCACTGTTACGGAATATCTTTTAAAATTATAAATATAACTTAGTATGAATTAAAAATGTTTTCTATTTTTCAAAGTTGTTCTTGGTGTCAAGTTTGTGAAATCATCAGTTCAGAGACCACATTGTGTCTTGAGCATCATGTGCACAGTTCACCAGCAGTTTGAATATACACTCACCGGCCACTTTATTAGGCACACCTGTTCAAGTGCTTGCTAACACAAATTGCTGAGTTCACTGTACTCTGTACTGGCCTCTAGTCGCCACATCTCAATCCAATAGAGCACCTTTGGGATGTGGTGGAACGGGAGATTCGCATCATGGATGTCCAGCAGACAAATCTGCAGCAACTGCGTGATGCTGTCACGTCAATATGGAGCAAAATATGTGAGGAATGTTTCCAACACCTTGTTGATTCTATGCTACGAAGAATTAAGGCAGTTCTGAAGGCAAAAGGGGGTCCAACCCAGGACTAGCAAGGTGTACCTAATAAAGTGGCAGGTGAGTGTATAATTCAAAGAGAAAAGTGAATTTGTTTTCAGCCAAAAAAAAAAAAAAACTACAAAAACAGCATTTTGAATTGCTAGTCATTTTTATTCATTTTTTGCATTGCTGGTACACTTGGAAAGAGTCAGTTGCCAGCTCAAGAGAACAATAAGCAACATAAGCCAAGCAGTCCCCCTTCATATCTTCTATCAGGGCAACATGTTTTTATTATTTTTTATTTTATTTTGTAGAAGCCACTAGTAAACCATTTGACACAGCCGAGAAGCTAACAGTTACAGTCCAAGGTCTGTAATGATGTCTTTAAAAAAGGCTGCAACAGTTAAGAGGGAGAACACAGACAAAAAGCAACAAACCCTATATCTTGATTGTGCAAAGCACATTAACTATAAAAAGATATATATTTATATGTATATACAGCAAACAATTCTCTGTAAACATGTTAAGTATGTTAGTTTTCTGAAAACATGGTGTCATTTCATAAATACAGGCAACATTGGCATCCGCAAACATCACAAAAAGATAACATTCTGGGCTTTTAAATACAGCCCATTGCCATAGAAACCGAAGAAACAAGGGCTCGAAAACACCCTTATCACACAATGTTGTCGTGTTTAGCATGGCATATTTGGTAACCTTTAGATGGTGTAGTTCAACTCTGTAGGAAAAAAAAATGTGCTTTTTCACATATTGGGAGGTGGAAAATAATGTGTTATGTAATATGCCTACTAGAATACTAACATACAGTAATGGTATAACATGTAAGAAAATACAAAAATAAGATTAATACTGTCAATAAATGTACAAGAAAAATATTGTATTATTAAGCAGAAGAAAAAGTTAGGTTTACGGGAGTTAGTGTCAATCTGGAGCAAAACAACTGCCAATCAGAGAGGAGGAAATGATTGCGCTTCTGGATGTGAAGATGTTCCCCGAAAGCTTTCATTCAACAGGGTGTGAAACGTCACCGTTTATCGATAATCTCAGACCACCTCTCATCTCCTCAGCACCATTCATCTTCTGAACAATGCTTCGGTTGGGAATATTCTGCAAGTGCTATCGATACCAACATGGCACATTAGTTGCTGCTATAATTCTTAACTCTGGTCAGTTGTTGAAAAAGTAGTGTATTTTTCTCAAATTACACCTCTGCAGTGACTTACTATATTTATGCTGAGCCTGCTCAAAGCCTCTTAATAAAAAGAACTAAATATTTATATTTCAACTTCAGTATTTTACAAGCTATGAAACAGTAGATGGTAGCTGTATTCTGAGTCATCTTGGGTGAGATTTGGCAGTCACAGCTATGTCGACACAGTATATTTATTATGGGCAAAATGAGAGCATTTCAAGCCCCTGCACCCTTGTAATCGGCTCACTTACGCACACGTTCAGCTGCAGAAGCGAGTGGGTGACGGCCGTGCACGTCTCCAGCTCTCGTCTGAGGAGACGTCAGCTCGACAGACCTAGAGACGACCACTAGACTAACTGCTGCCGGCATGACACATGCACTTGTCGTAGTTAAAACATGGCAGTTCGAAAAAACTTCAAAATACGTCTCCTTTTCAAATGGGGATGTTTGACATGGAAAAATATAGATACAAAAATGTTGAGCCAGTGTGTATACTTAACTTTGCCTTTTAAGGCTTTGAAATCTTCCAATTCAGTGGGCGTGGACTGTAATGGCTGCAGCTTGGCCCACTCAGTGGCTGATCTAACAGAGCTACAGGCCCTCGGTGGCACTTCACCGTGGACTCGTTAGACAGACAGACAGATCAGTACTGGTGAAGGTAGGAGGGCCTGTGCTCATGTTTGAGGGGGAAAGATTTAAAGCCCTTGGTCATGGGTTTGTGTTGCTGCTGCTGCTGCTGTTGTTGTTGCTGTTGCTGGGTGAAGGGAAAACCAGAGGAGATGCCGGCGGAGGGGGAGCAGTCGCTGGCAGTGGACCACACGGGAGACTGCAGCATCTGCATGGAGTCGCTCCACTGGGAGGAAGGAGGGATGTTCATCTGGTACAAGGAAGAGCTGGGATTGGGCATGGTGTTGTTATGGGTCGAGTGCTGCCATGGCGCTTTGGGAGGCCAGGTTTTAGTCTTGCTGTCCTGTTGAACACAGCATACGGCAATCAGCAGAGTCGAAAAGGTCCACTACTAATCAAAAGGTCACAACAAGGTCTTATCAACCCTTTTAAGTTAGGCCAAAAAATGATGCCTTCGAATGTACAACTATTTCTGATGTTTTCGTGACAGCAAAAAAAAGCGAATATATAATCGTGTTTTTCCAACGAGTAGTTTGCATAGTAACACTGGTGCTCCACGCCCAGCGCTCTCAATGCTGGGGAGGCTCATACTTTACCTGGTTATCATCAGCCATGTGATGGAGTGGTGGTGAGGGCAGGGTGCACACCTCCGGCTCACCACAGCTGTGTTTTCTAAGAACAGAGAAGTTGAACCTTATTAGCACTCACATACTGTACCGCTAGGACTATTTCTCACACACTCGAGCCTGCGCATCGACTTATATGTTACGGTCAACAAGTGCGTAGTAAAAAAAAGATCAGTTTTTTTTTTTTTTTTTTTAACAGTAGTTCAGTGTTTGAGTGTAGAATATCAACCAAAGAAAATGCAGTTAATCACATTGAATGATAATTATCAGTGCAGTTTGACCGTTGTTGAAAGCTGGCTGAATGAAGATGACGAGACAAATCTAAGCCGGGGGAATGAGTTTGGGGACTTACCTCCTTTGTTTAACCGCCGCTACAAGATCCGGACCAGAAAACATGGAGAACAGACTGTCGCCATTGGCTGAAGACGTCTCATCGCTAGAGCTGGCCGAGTCCCCCTGATTGGCTGACCAGCTGCTGTTTACGGCCTCTCTGAGGACACAACCAGACGAGGTGTTAGCCCCGTTACCTTTATACTCTCAGCAATGTGGTATTTGAAGGCATATCACGGGTTCAGATTCATTTGTTGATGATGTCTTAACACCTTGATGACAGAATTAAAGAAAAATCTGTAATGTATATTTGCATGTTGGTAATTTGTCAGGTTAAAAGACATTGATTACATAAATTGTTGATTCAGTGGCATTTGATGACTACATATCAACATATTAGGTTCTACAGCATCTCTTGGTCCTATTTAATGGCAAGCACTGTATTAAATTGGTTAAAAAGGAAACTTATTTTCATAACTACGACACTATTGCATAGGGTTTACAAGTATGATGCCACTGCAGTAATGGCTCCCTGATTACATCTTCCTACTTTCTGAGATTCATATCTAAGCAGGACGGTGTTGTCTCACACATTAACGTGGTATATGCCTCACATATTGATGCCGTCTGCCACATCAATAATTGAATCAGGACATTGCTCCAACACTTTAGTGCACTTGATGAAACTACGCTTTAAATAACCCTCCTACAGTTCAGCAACGGCGGCGGTCCAGTTAAGACATTGTTATTGGCGTCTTTGTGTAAATGACATTTCCCGTCAGTTTGACTAAAAAAGGTCTTTTTTTTGCCCTGTACAGCATTGAATCAGTGATAAGGGAAACCTGGTGTACAGATACCTACCCCTCACTATAGTACTCGGGGTGGGACCAGGTCCTGTGTTGCTCTTCAGGCATTGGCCAGTTGCTGCGCGTGTTGCTGGGCCGACGGATGTGCTGCACCTGCCGTTTCTGCTGCATGGCCTGGCTGACGCCGGCAACGTAACGGGCAAACTCCGGGTCAGAGCCAACTGCGTATATGGAAAGGATAAACACAGCTATGATTTTCTGACACCCTCAGCTTTTCTCTTTCGCTCCCTGGAGCTCATTCCGTTGAGCCAGACTGTCTACCGTAGCAGAAAAATCACAATGGCCGTAAGTCAACTCTGCACAATAGGCCTCGACTGCAATCAAAAGAGTCTGCTGCACTGTAAAAATAGCCACTGACACAGGCTAAGTTCAGCATTAATCGCCAACTTGTAGTGGAAAACAGCTGCTCACACTATCTGACCAACATTGATCGTGTTACTCAGATCAGGGTCCAATGTCTGAAATCTGCTTGAATGGTTACAAGATAGTTTATAAATGGAATCAAACACATTATTTCTCTTTACACTGATTTGCAACACGACACCCGTTTTGCATAGTGATATTTAACATACTGTTTACAAGATATCTGCCATACTTATTAATGTGCTGAATGAAGCCAAATAAACAAACATTATTTCTATTTGGTCCGGACTTGACAAACTTGTGAACATCCTGATTATTTCCTTGCAATTTGCTCTCTCAACATAGTGCTGTAGAATAAGCAGGAACCTTATGTATATGTATCCTTATGTATCCCGCCATTACACTGCTGTCCTTTAATATAATGATGTTGTGATGATAGTGCTTGGCTATGGTTAAGTTTTCAGCCCCTTTCACTGAAAAATACACACATTTGTTGAAAAGCAACATATTGATTTAAACCAATTTTCCTGTCTGATTTTTGTCTCTTATTTATTTCTTGATCCCACAGTCGAAATAAACAAATAAGTTCTCTGATTTTGGGCTGGAAAAAGAACACTTCGTGGGCATATAAAAGGGAGGTGGATCTCACCTGCTGGGTCAAAGGGCAGCGTGTCTCCCAGGACTCCAAACACTCCTTCACTCTGGTCCCTGTTGGGCCACGTGTTGTTGCGGGGCCCCTGTGGCTTCTGACCCAGCATCTCTGACATGACACTGTCCATGTAGGTGCTGACTAGGCCCAGACTGTACAGATCTGAGCTCAGATCTGGCAGTCCAGGAGAGCCCCACTGCCCAATTGGACCCAGGGGTGACAGCCCTGCTGGGGGGCCTTGCGGTGGAGGCGGTTGCCCAGAGGTGACGAGCCACTTGCTTGCCACTCTTTGCTGTGACAAGACCTGGGGTGGGGTCTGCTGAGGGGGAAGCTGAGGAGGAGGTGGCTGCTGCTGACTGATGGGCTGCAGGAGGTGCTGGTAGTACTGCAGGGCCTGGGGGGAGGGCTGTTGAGGTGGAAGAGGGGGCTGCTGCTGCTGTTGCTGTGGAGGAGGTGGCTGAGGCTGCTGTTTCTGCACTGATGGTGGAGGCTGGGGCTGAGGCTGAGCTTGAGGCGGTAGGCCACCGTGAGAGATAGATTGGGAAGTTGGCGGAGGTCCACTCGGCGGCTTCAGCTCAGCGGGGTTTGCAGACGCCACAGAGTTCCTCCTTTTGACCAGGGGCGAAGCCTGCTGGGATTTCCCCATGTTGAATCCTGAGAGAAAGTCGATGACATCCTGCATCTCTTGGTCCGTTGGCAGGTTCATCCCCTGGTCATCGGACACTAAACCGTTGGCCAGCAGGCTTTGCTGGGAAGAGTCAGGGGTGCAGGACAGGCTGCTCATCTGCAGGATGCTCCGTAGCCTCCCGTCACTGTGGCCCAGGCTCTTGGTCTTATCCTCTGAGCTACTGGTTGTCAGCATGCTGCGAGACGGGGTGCTAGGGATGGAGTAACTGCCCCCGCTATTAGAGCTGGATGAGGCCTTCTTTGTGAACTTGGAGGTCAGCTTGGATATTGTTTTGGGCAATCCACTGGAGGTCTTGGAGCCGGTGCCTGGAGGCAGGTCTGCCTGGCCGCCATAATCCGGGCTCTCCCGCTGCAGCTGCATTTGAATAGTGGGCAAAGGTTGCTCTCTTTTGGAGGGAAGAGAAAGACAAGTACTTCATTATTTAGTATTAAAAGCACTACAGCAATCTGAAAAATGATAACCAGGCACCAGGGTTCCTTTTAACCAAGAGGGAAATCCCCTTAAATCTAAACAGACAGTATACACATCACCTGTCCGTACTATCTGTATAGAAAACTACATGGTCAAGCTACTTGTTGCTAAATTAAGGGGTTATTCATAATTACAGTATCCAACGTTCACTCACTTTCTCTCCTTCCACCTGTTGATGTCAAACACTGCCGTGTAGAGCACGTCGACTAGACCAAGTGTCTTCTCCGGATCCAAGCTCCGCTGGAGCAAGGACATAGTTGCTGGGTCCTCCTTCAGACACCTGAACATGTATACACACACACACACACACACACACACACACACACACACACACACACACCACATGACGAGACAGGAACCGCAAAGCTACACTATGTCTTGCATACAAAAGCCCAGGTGCATTTGCTGAAAAGATTAATACTTGACATTCATAAACAAGACAAGAGCCAAAATAATCCGACAGGCAACTCCTTCAGCTTACAGACAGGTTTGGTGTATTTATCGTGGCCCACTGAACCAAGAAATTTACACTCCTGTTGCAGCTGGAAGACAGTCTTGAGCACCGACTGTAAAAATTCATCGCAGCGCATATGGCACAATGCTCCCACGACGCAAAACATTTCCGTTTTAGGATGTGATGATGCCAGAGTACCTCGGCTTAATAATATACCACTGAAGTAGGGTTAATGCAAATGTGTTAACGCTATATTAAAGGTGTGTACTCAGTATATTGAATCCAGCGTATTAACCAGATTCTCCATTCCTCTTCATGGTGTTGAGAACGTTAGATCTTGGCAGTGTCTGCTCTCTCTCACCTCCCTTATCTGTCTGCATGCATATGTTTTACATATGGAACTTGTCTATCTGCTGATGCAACTGCACCTACATAACAATACAATTTATGTTCACACGTTTCCCCATTAAGAATTAACTGATTATTTGGAAGAAAGGTCCACACAAAGACGTTTCACAGTAAGTGTTTTGATGAACTTACCATGTAGAGGGAACCTGCACCACCACTTTGGAACCCTCAAGAGTGATCTGGGGAGCATAGGCCTCCTTGTTCTCAATCTGAGCAGTATCAACAACCACCTGTTGGTACACACAAACACACCTGCATCAGCATCTCCTGACAGAAAAGCTTTATTCACCAGCATCTATATCCGTATTGTGAATCCTGCTTGTGCAAGCGATCTGCGAACATTTTGTAGCACACCATCTGCTGACTAATTTACACAACTAAAACAATTGGAGGATCATCAATTTTCCACCAAGTGAAGAGAGACGGTCTTTAGTCAGCCAGTAACAACAAACAGGCTAGCCTTCCTGTGTGCTGCGAGTCAAATGTATTTGAAAGTTCTTTGAATGTGGCCGTGGCTCCTCGAGACCCACTCAGCTGGGTCACAAAGAGGGCGGGAAGACGGGAGGAGTCCATTTCCTGTATTGCAGGAAGTCACCCTATTGTTGTGAAAAAAGCAGGTGTATCCTCGGAAACCCCGGGCTTCCCAAGTGAGAAAGCCACGCATACACACGAACAGACCGTCAGCCATGCTGCAAAAACAAAACGACGAGGTCACTGGGGGCCGGAGGGAGGAGGAAACATGCAGAAAAACAGAGGAGGTCAACTTCTGCGCTTGACTCGATGACTAGTAGGAAAAAGGGAGTCGCTAGTGATAATGCTGCCAGAAACAACAGCAGACAGATATCGCGAGTATTACTGTGAATGTAAATGAAAGAAAACAGGGAGGAATGACTAAAGTGAGAATGTGTATGGAAGTATTTAAAAAAAAGTGTGGGGAAGACACTTAAGCCCCTTTCACAGAAAAGAAGACCTGCCATGAAGCCGGCTTTGCTTTTTCACACTGAACAGCATGACGTTTATCACTTTCCCTACAGAACGGCGAGGAGTAATAACAGTCCGGCTTGAACAGGCTGTGTGAAAGGGGCTTATGTGTGTGCTTATGTGTGTGTGTCCATTCACACTGCTGTGTGATTATTTTGGGTTTAGTGCCTATAGGATCAGATAAGGAGCTAATGCAAAGCACTCGTCCATCATCCGGGGACTGTTTTACAGCTGGCACGGGGCTGGCAGGGCTGGATGGGGACACTCCCTCAGCCTGACACAAAAAACAAGACAGATCACACAGAGGAAATAAATACCGGAGCATGAACACACCGGCGTTACTCTGTGGGAAGTCCCGCTACCGACCGACCCTCCCTCCCTCCCTGTGATTCTCATTTTCAACAGGAGGGGGGAGGATTCTGTTTGCAAACCCCACCCAGGCGATCCCATCCTTCACCCAGATGCTGCTGGAATGTTTCTTCCCTTTTGTGTGTCTCTCTGGTGTTTGTTTACACCTTGCTACTGCCTCAAAGCAAGCAGACGGATCTCCTCATCTCCATTACAAATCTGACAAACAATGGGATGCAAGTTGCCAAAACCCAAAGACGCACAAAGGGAGAGGATTCGGTAACTCAAGCAGAAGTGTCAGTGAAGTACAACGGACCTGTTGACGCCAGCATGTCACCTCCTATCCGCCGCTCTGTAGTATAAACTACACTGTGGTGATGGATGTTAACGAGAGTAAAATAGTGAATGAGGATCCAGTAGAGATCTTTGAACACAACCGGGTATCCAAGTACGCCTTACACAAACACAAAACTAGTGTTTGTAGCTTACGTCACCGTCATGCTCACTTGAAGTTGTTCTGGTTAAGAGCATTAGTCAAATGCTTAAAATGTCATTCAAAAAAAAAAAAAATCATCCATTTATCTCCTGTTAGTATAAAGGTGTTGTGATCTATTTAAGATAAATTAATTTCTATGTGAACAGAGATCACAAGATTACAGGTTTTATCTCCCGAGGGTCCATATTCTCAGGAATAATTAAGGAATCCAGCTTTACTGTAGCGTCACATCTCTACTCACCAGACCAGCCTGGGCAAACAGCAGCTGGACGGCTGTCTTGCAGGCTCCTCTCCAACTGGATGGGCAGACTTGGTTGAGGACCTCAGTGACGGGAGAGTCATCCCTGGGGGTCACTCCGTTCTGGCCCAGCGCCTCCTTAATGAGCTGCAGCATCGTGTGCTGAGGAGACAAAACGCACCATCAACAATGCAGTAAGCCTTCACCGTCTAATGATGCTACACTACTTTTTTTTTTGCTCAAATCTCAGGGGTGACTGATAGCAGAGCAGAATCATGGTGGACACTTAACTCGTTTTTTTTAACCAATAATGAAACCTCGACTTTTTGGGAGAATACAAGGTGAGTAACCAATAGAAATAGTATGAAGCTGGCCGGTCGAGTCAAGGACCATACCGTTTTCAGTTTGAGGTTTTCAGCCGCTGACTCGTTGAAGGACACTCCTTTGAGGAAGTGTGAGCCAATCTGCACAGGGATGGTGGGCAGCTCGCACTGGATGGGCTGAGAGGTGGTCTGCATCCTGCCCGCCTGCTGGGCCTCCGCCTCACTGCAGCAGCTCTACACACACACACACACACACACACACACACACACACACACACACACA